GGTTACTAGTTGGGACTGTGTTGGTGTGTTGAATACGACAAGTGCATAAGAATGACTAGTGGTTACTAGTTGGGACTGTGTTGGTGTGTTGAATAAATACAACAAGTGAATAAAAAGGAAACTTTAACAACGTGTAACAGACGTTAGTCCTTCGTCGGAGTAAAGAAGAAAAATATACGACAATATAGAAAGAAAGAACGATGATTATGATATCAAGGGAATGACACGTGGTATGAAATGTCAAAAAAGTAATAACGTTCAGTGTAGTATTTTAGCATGGACTTAATAATATAAGATATACCAGCAAAATACCCTAAAAGAAAAGGGTGTCCGAAAAAGACCTTTTGATGTTCAAAACAAGTTTTCTATTTTGCTTTTCTAGGCGAGATAACCAGAAAAGAGTTCGAAGAACGAGGGATCAAGAAGATCCTTGCTTACATGCATTTCCTCAAGGACAAACACCCTCTACATCGCCATCGACTCAGCGATCAAACCTGGCTGTATAGAAATATGAGTGACCCAGTATTAAGCCGGTTAATAAACAGGTAGGAATCAGCTTAGAGGCCATAAAAACGTTGATCATTTCTGATTGTATTTGGATATTTAGCAATTAGACCATTAGGGCGAGAGGTTCAATTGTTTTATTCCAAACCTACTAATAGGTCAAATAAATACAAAACAATTAGAAATTCGGTTTTAAAAAACAAGTTAGCCACCATTGTTTTGGTTTTCAAAACAAAAACAGGCTTTTTTTGCTACTAACCAGTGATCTATTACTGTAATAGTCCACTAGTAGCTCAGCCAATCAGAGCGAGAGATTTGTGATAGACCATTAGGTTTGGACTAATGACCTTTAGCTACCACACTTGCGAAGATCACTTTTTTTTAATTGTCCTGACCATGGTCTGCCCATGTGCCGCACATGCTATGATTCTTCTGGACTGTTTCGAGCTAGGGAGGAAAACCAAAGAACCCGGATAAAAACCCTCGTGGCACAGGAGACAACAACACACAAGTTTTAGCCAAGGATCGAATTAGCGACACCAGGCCATGAAGTACAGGGGGTAGAGTGATGTACCCTAACAGTGCTTGCCAACCATAATCACCTAATAGCCAATTAATATTTAAATGCTTTAGAGTAACAAAGCTGACAAGACTGCCGAGGAAGTTCGTGCGTGCTAGCGAAGCAATACAGGTATGTGATCAGCAATTGATGAGTAGTTTGATGCTGAAATAAGGCTTTAAGGACTTTTTAACTCAACAGGATAAACCATTACGAGGTTGAGGGGGAAATGGGTCTAGTTGGTATTGCAGTGTATTTTGGGGCTGTCTTAGAGCACGAAATCGAAACCATCTTGGAAATATGTCCCCTAAAACAGCCTCAGAATTCACTGCAATGAATATCGGAATATGACTAATACGAAGAAACTTGAAGCACCTTTGACCCTGATATGGTGACAGTGCATGTGGACACTAGTCCCAACAAGGTATTGTCATAGTCAGATTAGAAATCGTATATTCTAAGCTGGTATTGATCTATGATTTTCAAAAGGCTAACTCTAAAAATATGTAAATGAGTCTGTAATCAAGAAACACGGCGGTATTTCATGTCCATTGACATTGCTGTTGTTTCAGGTGGTTCGATACCAGCAGAACGGTCATTATCACGCACACATGGACTCAACGCCGATACGAAATGACGAGCTGTACTGCTGTCATCAAAACTTGTACAAGAAAAAAGAATGCAAACTATGCAGGTATATGACGTCAGTAGCTAAAATATGTTGATTAATTAGGGTGCATGTAAAGTCATAGCGGCCATATTGGTTGACGATAGCGGAGCATTCCTCATTTAACTTCTCTCGTTAGATCAACCAACATGGCGGCTGTATCAATGTTATTTATATCTCAAGGGATTTTGAGTCATGTGGTTGTACCCCAAGAATATCTACGTTTATGACGTTAGTAAAAGAGTACGATACCCGAATACTCACTGTGTTAAAAAATGGGCTCCTGCCTACCCGAAGGGCGGATTCACGGGTGGGAAAGAGCTATCATCCCACCTCCACATTTCACAATACAAAGTACAAAGCCATTATCAAAAATACATATAAAATGCCTTATGAATAAGCCATTCCCTTTTTTATCTGTGTGTTTTCTTAAGCAAAATAGATTAAAGGGGAAAATGGCATACACCGAATCAAAATCTGGCGACCAATTTCAATAACTATTGTTGTGCGCTGACAAGCGACTGACTAGCAACGTGTTCATGTGGAAACATAAAAGCGTTTTCACATATATAAGAGGCTAGTCAGTGACTAGTCAGTCCAGAACAATATATAGTTATTCAAATTGGTTCGGTTGCCATATTTCGATTCTGTGTATGGGCCATGGAATTCTTAGCATGTCGGTGTCAAATAATCACATAACTACTTCTCTAAAACATTCCTGCATTTTCCCCGTCTCCCAACTCCCTCCCTGTCCTGAGTTTTACGCATATCACATCTTAGTTGATTGATGTGTCTGAGATGCGAGGTATCAATTACACCTGATCTTTTTTTAGGTTCATAACTATTCTGTATTATTTAAATGACGTGGAGTCTGGAGGAGAAACAGCTTTTCCTATCGCTGACCAAGACACTCGTCCTCTTGACAAGGTGCGTATCCACCAAGTCTTCCATGTGACGTCATAGCCGCCATGTTGGGTGAATTCAACTATGGAAATAGTCTGGATTTTTTCTCTTAGTTTCAACCATCATTGCGGGCGCCTTTCCTTTTTTCCATTTTTCTCATGGAGAGGGATGCACAATAACGCAATGTTTTTTTCATTCTATTCCTCTTGGAAATACAATTCTTTGTCTGTCTTACATCTATTTACTGTGTTTCATTAGTACTCAAAGTAATAATACTCAAGGGAATGATGCGTGGTCTGGAATGGGAGAGTAACAAATAGAAAGAAGTCGTGTCAGAGTGACTGTAACACATTTTTATACTGTCTTTTTTACTTTCTCTGCAACCCACAGAGGTTAGTAGACCCCGGCATCTCACACGACGAGCTTAACCTCACTGAGCATTGCCAAAATGCATCCCTAGTCCTCCCCCCTAAGAAGGGCACAGCAGTGATGTGGTACAACCATTATGTAGACACAGACAGTGGTTACCTTGGGGATCTGGATGAGTTCTCTGTTCACGGTGGATGTGATATTAAAAAAGGTATGAAATGGATAGCTAATAATTGGATCAATGCTCCTGTTGCCAAAACAGCACATATCAAGAGCATATATGACGTAGATGATCATTGATGACGTCATAATCACTGGTCCTAAAGACATCAGGAGTATATATGAGGTAGACGATCATTGATGACGTCATGACCAAATTGCCTTGGTCATAATTAAAAAAACAGTGCATATCAGGAGTATATATGACGTAGATGATCAGTTATGATGTCATATCATTGATAACGTCGTGCAAAACAGCCGACATCAAGAGTATATCGACGATGTCATAGAAGACAGTCAATATCAAGAGAATATATGACGTACATGAGGATGTCATAATCATTGCGTCTGTTATACAAGACAGTCTGGCATCAAGATTAAATATGACGAAGATAAGCAGATATGATGTTATACAAAACAGGCGACATCATGAGTATGTGTATTACGTAGATGGTCAGTGATGATGTCATAATCCTTAATTTCTTTGCGATACGCGATCACGATTATATAATATATGTGGCGTAGATGAAAAATGGAAGTAAAAATAAAGTATTTGTATTTCTTCGCTTCAAACCTGGCTCCAGTCAGTTTGAATCACCCAAAGACTTGATTGCTGTTGCTGGACTAAAAGAATCGAAGGCCAGCGGTTTGCAAGACTAAACAATAACCCAACTGAAGATGGAATACTTTCATATGAAATATTGAACTAAAAAAATAGTAAAGTGAGTTTTCTCCCTATTCTGTGTTCTGTTACGACATATATCGTTTCACTTCAACAGAACATATAGAGGATATTACATGGGCGCGCGGAGATACGAATTTTATCTTGTCGTGTTCAATTGCTCACCCGTGGCCTGAGATATCTAAATTGAACACGAGAAGATAAAATTTGTATCTCCAAGCGGCCATGTAATGTTCTGTTTATTATATAGATATCGATGAAACTTAAATAAAACAAAAGCTCAAAAATTCTTTATTAAAATACGTTACTATGTCAACAGCGATATCTTCACGTGTGAAAGATATGGTATCTTCCACTGGTGAAAGATATCAAGTTTTCGACCCTAGAGAAAACCTGGTATTTCATCGATATCTATATAATAACATAAAATAAAATATTTTCTCTCCAAAAATGTTTGTGTTTTCTAATTCCATTCAAAGTTATAGTTTTTTCAATTTTAGATTATAATAGAAACTGCTTTTATTTTTAGATTCACTGTTGCTATGGTTTCATATAATGTCTGCAGGCAGATATTAGGTATCATCTTAGACAGGGCAGAAAAACGACAAGCCCGCTACTTTCACGATTTTTATTTATTTAACTGAATTTAATACTCCAAATTTTTAAGCGTTTTATTTGTGTCACTGCTGCTCGAAACTTGTGAAGAAATTTTGTCGAATTAGAGGAAATCTACTTATTAGTAATCACGAAAATGTCAGTTTTTCTGCCGATCAAAGTATCACCTCTCCCAAAGTACACGGCTTTATACTCTCAAATACGCATTCAATAAATTTTGTTCGCATTTGATATTTTGCTATTTGGCTCCAAAAGAACGTGTTTACAAAATATTGCGCTTAAATGTTTAAAGCTGTAGTCCTTATGGCGAAAGGCCAAAAACCGTTTTTCTGCCCTGTCATCATCTTATAGTAAGGCCTTGGTTACAAGAATGGAAAGATCGTTAGTGTTTTGAAAGCCATTGTATTGGATTTGAACATGGCTGGCTCTTAATGTTGAGAAGATGAAAATATGGAAGAAAGGATGGAAGAAAAGTAAATGGAAAGGTAGAAATGAAAAAGGAAGGATGAGAGAAAGGACAAACGAACGGACGGACGAAGGAAGAAGGGCGAGAGTAAAAGAAGAAAAAGAGGAAGCAAGCAAAGCAAAAAGGCAAGGACGTAAAGGGATTGGAAAGATAGTAAACAAATAAGGAAAAAGAAAAGATCGAACAACAAAGAAAAAAGAAAATTAGTGAGAAAGGGATGAACAAACGAAAGAGATGTAAGCACAAAAACGAGCAAACAAACCAATGTTGGATTTCAGGGTCAACACTATGGTCTTTACACTCTCATGATTTCGTAGACATCTTTGATGCTGTAGCAGCTTTCCCTTATAACTTGCTCGTATTTCTCCTTTTCAATAAATATTATAAACTAAATATATATTACATATTATAACCTATATTATATATATTTTCATGTAAAAGCCATCCAAATGCTTTAGCATATATTTTCTACAATATTTCTCACTTTATTAATCTTGTACTTGGATTTCGACAACTTTATTTTACGAGTCAACATGTACCAGTCAACAAATACTCCCATACAGGTACATTCACATACCAAAGCCGCTCTAACAAGTAGAAATATCGGTCATATCTGCTTTCGTTGGTATTCCATATTAGCAAAAACGCCATAGATTCCGTCTATAATGTTAGAGGTAATTTTCAGTTGCTGTAGAAATGTTTTAACGACTTTTTGATTGGCTAATGTCATTCTGCTTCACAACCAGTAGTCCAGCTCCACGCCTGAATAGACCACTTGTTTTCAGTCCAAGAGGATACAATATCAGGAAAGAGAATATATATTTTGATGAATAATATATAAACAATCCCTTTTCGATAAAACTATATGATACGAGCGTTCGCCAGTTGCACAGAGCCATGGCTTCTTTAAGGAATCTTTTATTTATATTTTCACTATTCGCCGAAGTCTTTTTTCGCTTATCTTTGGCACAACATAGAAGCAGATTTCTAAAACCGTGTTTCGAAGAAGATAAAGAGAGAGAATTGGAGTTCTGTTCGGAACCTAACGCTGATTGCTATTTAACTGAGCCGATGAAGAAATCTCCCTCCGATTTTCTACTCGTACGAATTGATGGACACAAGGTAAGCCACTTACTAATGGTAAAAACTCTATAGCATTAACTGTAAATATTATGTCACATCCAAAACAAAATTAAAATCAATAGTTATAATAATAAATAGATTTACAAGCGAAGAAAAAAAACAAAATTAAATCAAATTGGGAACAGTTGCTATTTTAATTTCGTCTTTTTTTAAAATTTTATTAAAGTCTGACAGCTTTTTCTGTATTATATTTTTGAAGCTGATGGATAAATATTGCACGTCTAGTCTAAACAATCACTTGTTTTTAGAAACACAACACAAATCTCGAACAATGGTTTTCTTATCAAGCAGTAGTTTGCCGGCTAATATTTTTTACAATTATCAAAATATTGAATATTGAAGTTAATTCAACTCGATTTATTTCTGGCAGCACAGATTTTTTCACCATTGTTACTTGATTAATATTAGTAATGAGATCTTCACACATTTATTTTCGTGGATCATGCGAAAGAGTGAACATATCTCACTCCAGAAAACCTTTTTCTGGTAACAAGGAAGGAAAAAAATTGAAGAAATAGTTTTAAATAGCCATGTGGGTTTTTCCATTTTCAAGAGGTATATGGCATATTTTTCATGAAATAACCTGTAGTTCGCCACACCTATTAACAGGTTCAATCATAGTAAAACACGTTGGCCCGATGCAGAGGTGTGCAGTATTGCACGTCTGTTCAGCAGATACATATCTTTTATATGATATAACCAGATAATTACTCTATCCACTTATAACTATATCCACTTAAATTTTTTTTGCCTCTTGGCAAAAAATGAACCTTCGCATACTTTGCAAAGAGGTTGTTTCAGAGTTTGATGGAAAACCGATTTTAGTGTGTCTTCACTTCTTAAGTTTTCTTGGTGAAATCGAATGGTTTATTATGACTAGGTATTTAAGCAAGTAATGAGCACCACGAATAACCTAGAGTAACGTACAACTTCTTCATCATCATAGTATCTCCTTTGTTGTTGCTGATTACTAACAGTTTTATGGCTTAGATTTTGCGTATTATTGTGAACATGAGAAAACAATTTAAATTAGATCCCCCCAAAAAATGTGGATATGATAGTTATGATAAAACAGAATCAAACTATATTTTCCTTTTGAGTATTTTTTGGTTGTGTCAACACTTAATTGGCTTTTCTATTTGTTTAGTTCATGCAATAGAACCTAAACTCAGAATCTGTAGCATTCAAATGGCTTTCCAGTACTCTTTTGTCTTCATTCGACTTTATAGACCAATCACAATATCTTCCTGCTGGGTATTTATTGGTTGTGTCAAGTGAATACTTAAATGGCTTTTGCTCATGCAATAGTGCCAACAAATGAACCTGTGCATTTAATTACATGGTGCCAAAACCCAGTTTCTGTAGCATTCAAATGGCTTTCCAGTACTCTATTGTCTTCATTTAACATTATATCAACCAATCGAAATATCTTCCTACTGGGTATGTACTGGTTGTGTCCGCACTTAAATGGCTTTTACTCATGCATTGCCAAAAAAAAAAACATCAATCATATAGTGCAAAACCCCAGTTTTTGTAGCATTCAAATGGCTTTCCAGCATTCCATTGTCTTCATTCAACGTTATATCAACCAATCAAAATATGTTCATGCTGCGCCAGTAAACACGACGAACGACGTAAACGAATGAACAAGCTTTAATCATGAAACGTAGTCGCAAGATGGCCGACCAATAACAACAGTAATGAA